CCCTGACCCGAGCTGTGCCCCCCATGCTGAGAGTGTAGCTCCTTCCTCCCCAAAGAGCCAACGTGCAGGACATCGCACTGTTCCCCTGAGGGACGGCAGGGTGACTCAGAGCATGTGTGGTTTCCAAGGACATTTTTCTGAGGAGTAGTGGCTAATGAGCTCACTTTTGAGTCTGCCAACAGAGGGGGTAGCCAGGGAGGTAGCCAGACCGCCAAGCCCACGGTCACAGCGGGGGAAGGCGTGGGTGTCCATGTGACCCGTGAATGTCCGCCAGGAGACCTTGTGCCGGGAAACCGTCCAGCTCCGACAACCGGCCTCGCTGCTTCGCTCCAGCAAGTCACCAGCGAATCCCACAAGTAAATTCTTAGTGGGAGTGACAAGGGGAAAGGAGGGTCCTAAAGCCTGTGCCATGAAGTCATAATCTGTGTTGGAGTTTGGCTCAGTGCTCTACTTTACTTTATTCATGAAATATTTGTTGTGCAGGGGATATAGCAACAGAAATCACTGCCCGAACCCCCACCCTCGGGACTGTATGCTGTTCAGAGACTTAAACACAGCGCCCAAATGCACACAGGGTTACACATATTTTACCAACCCAAGCCCCTTGGCCCCTTGGCTCCAAGTCTTTTCAGGGGTAGCTAACAGGGCTCCACCCCATGCCCACCAAGTGCCTAGTCCTGGGTTGGCCGCACAGATGTTGATTTCACCACAGCTCATAGGCCATAGAAACACCAAAATTGGCATTCAGGTACCTAGTATGGGGACATACATTTTCTGAATATGTAAGTGGCAATTGTGACTGGATGGGTGTGTTTTCCCTCTCACCCATCATTAGTGAGTAGCTCTTATTACAGTGGTGCCTCGGTTTTCGAACGTCTCCGTTGATGAGCATTTTGGTTTACAAAGGCCATAAACCCAGATGTAAATGCTTCGGGTTTCGAACACGCCTCTGAAGTCGAACAGGCCACACGGCTTCTGCTGAGGGCAAGACCCTGAGGCTCAGCTGTCAGCTGTGGATCCCTCGGTTTTCGAATGTTTCAGAACTCGGAGGGTCTTCCGGAACGGATTGCATTTGAAAACTGAGGTACAGCTGTATTATTATTATTATTATTAGTGAGTAGCTCTTAATAGGATGAAAGAAGTAATACTTACCTAATGGCGCTGGAGAGGAGAGCAGAAACTGGCGTTAACTCCCTCAGACCACAGCTTCGCCATAGCGCCGCGCCTCCTGCCAGAACTTCGTATTTTCAAAGTGCTCTTACACACTTTTTTAATTATTAATTGCTTAGAGTTTTGATAGGTCTTTCCAATATAAACTGAAAGCCAATGAGAAATCCAGATCAATTTTTTTAATTTATTGATTTGAGAGAGAAAAAAATATTGATTTGTTCCACTTACTGATGCATCATTGGTTGCTCCTGTGTGTGCTCTGACCGGGGATCAAACCCGCAACCTTGGCGTATCAGGACGATGCTCTAACCGTCTGAGCTACCTGGCCAGGGCCCAGGTTAATTTTTAAACATATGCTTTAGACGCCCACCTTGCTAGGCACTAGAAAGGACCCCTGCCCTCGGGAGAGTGAAATGCAGACTCAGAGTCCTGAGGGTCGTGGGAGAGACCCCGACCAGGCTTAGAGGCGAGGAAAGTGCCCCGAGGAAGCTGGCGCCCTGAGGGGCCGGAAGGACAAGTAAGACCTGGGTGGGCGGAGGCCTGAGGCGTTCGTTTCTCAGTGGCCCTGCGGCAGAGCGAACATCTGTTCCGCCGTCTCGGGGTGGAGAGGGCCGGGGCGACGCTGCAGATTAAATTAGAACCCTCCAGGCGGCCAGGGAGAGGAAACGGTCTGGCTACAGCACCTCTTTCTTTCCATAAAGCCACCATATGCCCACCTCGCGGCTGGAACCAGGTCCCAGGTGGATACAGTCCAGAGAATATCGTAATTAGCATTTGGGAATATTTCTGGCCAGCATTTTTCCCGATGCAGACACTCACTCACAGGTGCCTGGAGGAGGAAGTCACATAGTAACAGGCTCCCAACGCTCAGCAAGCACAGCGGAATTCATAAATAGGTTTTAAAATTAATAGGGACTGTTAGTTGGTTTCCAGTTTTTAGGAGAAGATGGATATTCCATTCTGTGAAAAGTAGTTAGTCCATGGAAATCTGAGCTATGTGTAAATGTATTATTATTATTGTTGTTGTTGTTGTTTAAAAAGACTTTTGAAGTGGGTGTATTTCCTTACGCTTGCTTTATAAAGGAGCAAATTACAAGCAGGCCCTGGAACTATTTTGAAAGGGTTTTCCTTTCCTCACTGACTCTGGATCCCAGAATGGTAGCCAGGCTTAGGTGCCACTTCTGAATGGAGTGGCTTAATTTAACAGAACTAAACAGAAGTGGCTATAAATTAGAATTGGTCGAGGCTTTGTAAGGAGAGTGGATGCCTTTGACGCTAGGGCCTCAGCTGTGTTGATCACCTTCATGCACGGGCTGCCTTGTCCCTCACAAATAGGGGACAAGAATCTGGGAGGGTGAGAGGGCAGGGAGCCAGAGGGAGGGCCGGCAAGAGACAGGACGACCCCCTGACTGCATGGCAAACAAGAAAGAACCAATGGAAGAAGTAATGTCTAGACTTAAGATTTTCTTGAGTTAGTAAACTTACTAATGCTTGTGTGAGAATATATTCTCCTAAAGGAACTAAAAAAAAAAAAGTTGACTTTCACGTCTGGGTCAAAGCCATTGACCATAAAGATAACACGTGTGGTTGAAAAGCCAGGATGGAGGGGGGACTCCCTGGGCCCTGGTGTTGGGGTGGGGCTGGGGGAAGTCCTCCTGTCCCTTGGGGCCAAGTGTAGACTGGGCTCCTTCAGGACCCACGTCTTCACTGTCTATCTTCTCACGTCTCCCTGTGCGACTGACTGTGGGCCACCCCCTTGGACGTTGTTGGGAAGTGGATTCCTGTCCCAACCAAGCAAATGAGGAGCCCGTGGCTCGGGGATCTGTCTGATCCTACACAGCCACCCCGTCAGAGCCGGGGGGGACCCAGGCTTTCAAATCTAACTCCCAGCTTCTTCTCTGGAAGCAAATTCCTTAGCAAACCCTTTATAAGTAACTTGGGTGAGACAACAGAGTTCACAGAATTTTAGAGTTGCAAGAAACTGGTGACTGCCTAGATAAGGGTCCTGGCAGGAGGAGGGGGTGGCGTTTCCAAGGCTGCAGAGCTAGTTGGTGAAAGGACTGGAGTAATGAAACACGCAGGGAGTTTGCGGTCGGATGATCTGGGATTTAGCCCTTGCCCGACACTTAGCTCTTGTTGATGGACACATGATAGAAAGTCTGAACTATGCAGGTTAGAACCGAATGGGTAATGTCTTTACTGGCATTGTCCTCGGTCAATGATACGCAAAGAAAAGTTTTTCTCTTAGTGAAGACCTTTCCTTTTATTCTACTCGGCACAAGCACTTATTGGATCACTCTGTTGTTTTTCTCTTGCACTGTGCTCCCCGGCGGCCTCCTGGACTGCTCGTCCCAGCTGCATCTCTCCCCACAGCCTCCTGATCACATCATAGCTGCCAAATCAGGCAATTGCACTGCTTGTCCCCCTTCCAGCTGTGCTCGCTCCACACACCCAGCTGAAGCCATTTCCCGGCAGCCACCCTGAACCAGAGCGCAACTGCTAAAATATTAATGGCTCCCTTTGTGGAAATAGCACAGCGAAGCCTGTTGTGAAGGAAGATTGGGAGAGGGGTGGAAACAGAGATGGAGGCAGTACAGCAGAGAAAGGGCCTCAGAGTTAAGGCGGAGGGGGCCATCCTTAGCTCGGCCTTCCCCGTCTCAGCGCCAGGGTCTCCCCCTGAAATGCAGCCCCGCTGGCTGAGACCCACCTTCTTGGCCTCCTCGGTGGGTGGATGGCCCCTGTGGCTTCCCTGGCTGCCTGCTCTCCTGGGCCCACTGGGAGAGAGGAGGGCAGGGCCACATCGATCTGAAATCAAAAGGCAAACTGTGTATAAAGGAAAGAGGGGCTCCTGGGGTTAAAAATGCATGTGACGTATTCTTTTTTTTTTAGTCCCCACTCAAGATGTTTTTATTGATTGTTTTTCTTCTGTTTTTAGAGAAAGAGAGAGAGAGAGAGGAAGAGAGAGAGAAACATCAGTCGGCTGCCTCCTGTACCTGCCCTGACCAGGGATCGAACCCAAAACCTTTTGGTGCACAGGACGACACTCCAACCTGCTGAGCCACCTGGCCAGGCCACATGTGACGTGTTGATGGGAGGCGAGCCAGCGGATGCTGAGGCCAGATACTGAGGCAGAGAGATGTGGTCCCACCCTCGGTCCAGGAAAGCACGCAGCACTTGCTTTCGTCATTGGAGCCCCGGCCACACTCTGTCATTGTCATGGTCGTAGCCCGGGGCCTTGCACAGTGCGTGGCACAAACCTCCCCGCTGAGCTCTGTTCTGAGAGGGGGGTGAGCAACTGGAGGGGAGGG